GCCATTGTTCAGGCAGTCACAGATCACCTGAAGAAAGATCCCACTAACAGCACTTTGCTCACCACACTTGCTGAACTGTGAGACACTGTGACAGTTCTATTCTTAGTAAAGAGATGAAAATAAGACATGTTTAATTTTCTTTTTTATTGCAGTTACACATATGACCAGAGGTATGATAAAGCCTTAGAAATTTATCTGAAACTGAGGCACAAAGATGTGTATCAGCTCATTCACAAACACAACCTTTTTTCCTCAATTGAAGATAAGATTGTCCTTCTAATGGACTTTGATAAAGAGGTAATTCTATATTTTACCATATACAGAGTATTAATGAAACAGAACAGCCTTTAAAATTTTAACCTACTTCCCTCCACTCTCAGAAAGCTGTTGACATGCTGCTTGACAATGAAGACAAAATAACTGTAAGTATCCCACACTTTGAAAATATTAAATTGAAGTGTATGTATGTATGTGTATATGAGTGTGTGTGTGTGTGTGCATATATATACATATATACATATATATATATATATATATATACACCACACACACACACACATATATATATATATATATATACATACACATGCACATATATACATATATATACATACATACATATATACATATATATATATATATATATATATATATATATATATATATATATATATATATATATATATATATATATATATATATATATATATATATATATATATATATATTACAGTCCCTGACAAAAGTCTTGTCGCTTATCCATTTTGTAGAAACAAAAGCTTATAACCTGACTTTAAATTAATCGATTGTTTTTAGAAATGTCTCATATGAAGCTAAAACCCTCCCAAATTATGCTCAATATACTAAAATAAATTTGCTTCACTGAAGAAAGATTGATCATTCAATGAACCCAGAAGGGTCAGATTTTGGCAAGACAAAAGTCTTGTCGCCTTGTCATATGATGCACTCAATCCTAGATTACAGCCTCACCTGTGATCAGTTACTGATCAATCAATTAGTGGGTGTGTATAAAAAGAACCCCAGCACACCAGACCTTCACATCAACTGCAACTTTACCTCTGACAACATGCCAAAGATCCACCCTGAGACCAAAGTGTTAATTATCAAGAGGCTGAAGACCAGACCCACTGCTGAGGTGGTGACATCTTCAATGTGTCTCAGCGTCAAGTACAAAGAATAAGAAAAAGATCTGAAATGACTGGAGATGTTTTTGACAAGCCCAGGTCCGGCAGACCCCGCAAGACAACTGCTCAGGAGGACCATTTGTTAATTTGAAACTCCAAGGCCAGCCCCTTTTCCACTGCAGCAGAGCTCCACCAGGCCTGGTCACCTCAAGTCCCTGTGTCAACCGGAACAGTTTGTAGAATTCTGTCTCGAAATGGCCTCCATGGTCGAATCAGTGCACAGAAACCAGCACTAAACAAAAGGCAATTAAAAAAACGTGTGGCATTTGTCAAGGCCCACAGCCTGCTAAAAGGATGGACACTGGAAAAGTGGCAGAAGGTGGATTTCTCAGATGAATCCTCGGTTGAATTACATCACAGTCACTGCAAATATTGCAGGAGACCTACTGGAGCCCGCATGGATCCAAGATTCACCCAGAAAACAGTTTAGTTTGGTGGCGGAAAAATCATGGTCTGGGGTTACATCCAGTATGGGGGTGTGCGAGACATTTGCAGGGTGGAAGGCAATAGCCTAAAATATCAAGACGTATTAGCTCCTCTTACATTCCCAACCATAAAAGGGATGGTGCTCCATCGCATACTTCTTTCTCTACATCAAAGTTTCTCAAGGCGAAGAAGATCAAGGTGCTCCAGGACTGGCCAGCCCAGTCACCAGACATGAACATCATTGAGCATGTCTGGGGTAGAATGAAAGAGGAAGCATGGAAGGCAAAACCAAAGAATCTTGATGAACTCTGGGAGGCATGTAAGACTGCTTTCTGATGACTTCATCAACAAATTGTATGAATCATTGTCGAACCGCATGGATGCAGTCCTTCAAGCTCATGGAAGTCATACAAGATATTAAATATGGATCGCACAGCACCACTACTTAATTCACTGACATTATGCAACATATTTTTGTGTTTGAAGTAAATTATTTGTTCAATTTTCTGTAGGCGACAAAACTTTTGTCTTGCCAAAGTCTGACCTTTCTGTGTTCATTGAATGATCAATCTTTCTTCAGTGAAGCAAATTTATTTTAGTATATCGAGCATAATTTGGGAGGGTTTTAGCTTTCATATGAGACATTTCTAAAACCAATCAATTAATTTAAAGTCAGGTTATAAGCTTTTGTTTCTACAAAATGGATAAGCGACAAGACTTTTGTCAGGGACTGTATATGTATGTATATATATGTATATGTATGTATATATATGTATATGTATGTATATATGCACACACACACACACACACATATATATATATATATATAATATGTGTGTATATACACACACATATATATGTACACACACACACGTATATATATACGTATATATATGTATATATGTATATACGTATATATATGTATATACGTATATGTGTAATTTATTTTAGATTGACAGAGTGGTAGAGGAGCTAGCGGACAAACCTGAATACCTGCATGTGGTAAGTCATTATATATTTTATTACTTCACAATGTTAACTTTACAGAAGTCAAGTACTCTCTCTTTTCCTTAGTACCTCCATAAACTTTTTAAGCGGGATCACCACAAAGGACAAAAATATCATGAGCGACAGATTGGACTATATGCTGAGTATGATCGACCAAATCTTCTGCCTTTTCTGAGAGATAGCACTCACTGCCCTCTGGAGAAGGTATACTGGATTTATCATAAGTCATGCATATTTTTGTCTTACATTTTTTTTACTGTTCCCTTTCAGGCTCTTGAGATTTGTCAGCAGAGAAACTTTGTTGAAGAGACAGTTTTCCTTCTCAGTAAGTTACTGAGTTCAACATTCTAATGTTATGTTTCTAAAACGAATAAAAGACCAGCAACATGGACATGAGACAAACAAACTTTTTTCACAGGAACAGGAAGGACTTAAAAAAATATATGAAATAATGTTGTCTAAGACAGAAATCATGTTTGTTATTTTGATTTTGAAGATGGTGCATATTAATTAACACAGTGTAAATTATGAATCTCTTAGGCAGAATGGGAAACTGCAGGCGAGCTTTACAAATGATCATGGAGGAGCTTGGAGATGTGGACAAGGCCATAGAGTTTGCTAAAGAACAAGATGATGGTGAACTCTGGGAGGATCTGATCTCTTATTCAATTGACAAACCACGTAGGTCAAACTGTGACAATATATTTTATCTTGGACTAATAAAAACACACAAACACTGTAGAATTTGCACTTGTTTTCAGCCTTCATCACAGGCCTCCTGAATAATATTGGAACACATGTGGATCCTATTCTGCTCATCCACCGTATTAAGGAAGGAATGGAGATCCCAAATCTTAGAGATTCATTGGTCAAAATCCTTCAAGATTACAATTTACAAGTGGGAAAATAGACATGTGTTCTTATTCATACTTTATAGATGTTGACTTATTGTATGTAAAATGTTTTATTTTGTATTAAGATTCTCTTGAGGGAAGGTTGTAAGAAGATCTTGGTGGCAGACTCCCTTTCTCTGCTCCAGAAAATGCATCGAACACAAATGAGAGGTGTCAGAGTTGATGGTAGGTTTTGCTCAGTAACAAAACTGCAGTGACAGTAACAAATCAAGTTATATTAGTGACCTTTGGTGACCTTTTCTTTTAATAGATGACAGTATTTGTGAGTCATGTCATGCAACAATACTGCCATCAGGTATGCTTTTTGTGAGTTATTTTGGCAAATTACATTTGATCAAAATTGTAAAGGTTGTTCTGCCTTGCTTGTACTTCTCAGACATTACTAGGAACTTCAGTGTGGTGGTGTTTCACTGCAGACACATGTTTCACAAAGAGTGTTTGCCATCCACAGGAACTGTAAGTAATCTTACTAGTACTAGTCGTACTTTTTAAAATTATTATTAGTCTATAAGAATGTTTCCCCCATACAGATTCCTGGTGTGCAGTTTTGTAACATCTGTAGTGCCAAGAAGCGTGGACCAGGAAGTGGAATATTGGATATGAAGAAGTAGCTTTTCACTGTCTTGTAACTTTTTTTAATACTTTCATTTAGTTTTGCTAGACAGCCTTCACCCCAGACACTTTCTCCAGCTCCTCCAGGTGGACACCGAGGCGTTCTCTCGGCTGGCCTGGGAACGCCTCTGTGTGCCCCCGGAGGAGCTGGAGGAAGTGTTTGGGGTGAGGGAATTCTAGGAGTCCCTGCTTAGACTGCGGCCTCCATGACCCAACTCTGGATAAGTGGAAGAAAATGGATGGATTTAGTTTTGCATCATTCAATACTCACTACTTGCTAAACAACACAACTATATAATCTATAACAATCAATAATAACAATCTACTAATCCATAAATGTATATTTACTTTTCACTTACAAAATGCTTAAAAATACCTGTTCTTTGTTTCACACCTCACGATGTAACACTTCAATATCACAAAATAAAAAGAAGAAGAATAATTTATTGATTAATGTGTTGCATAGAGTGAATGACTTGTTTATAGATGTATCTACTTAGTACTATAATAAAACATTTAATTGAATAAGGTTTAAACTTATTTGTGTAATAGAAACTTATAGTTTACTCAAGTAATATCTTTTCTTTTTATTTATTTTTGCATATTTTCAAAAATAAATACATTTGATTTGAGTTACATTCATTCATTTGTTGAAGTTTAAAAAAAAAAAAAAAAACGAATTGTTTAGGACAGCAACGTCACTTCCGCCCTTTTCCTCCGGAAGTACAGTTAATTTTTTATTCACAAGAAAAAAACAGCTGGCGTTGAAAAGGAAAACATCAAAGTGAGTTTTGTTGTTTAATAATGTTGGTCTGTAGTTTTGCTATAGCTAATATTATTGGAAGTGCTGTTCAGACTCCCGGTTTTATCACAATGGATGCAGCTTTTTGACCTGGAACGGCGATAGTCGTTCCGCTCATTTGTTGCAAGCTGCTGCTAGCGCTAGCTCCATCACTGAGGACCTGAGCTAGCACTCAAGCCTCAGGGAGCAAGCTAACTCATCATTTCTGACTCTATAACTTTGTGTGACAAAGGTAAATGCCAAATAAATGTTGCAAATGAAAGGTCTGACAGAGATAGCCCAAAAATGTGACGGTTTAGACTGCAGATTGCGTGATTTGCTACCCGCAATTTTTACTGTTTACGTTTCTTGTTAGCCAGCGCAGCTGCATGTTTACAAAATCGGTCTCCACAAAAATGTTCTTTAGCTATGGATATAAATGTTTTAGGTATGTCAGTACATTCTGCCATATACCCCTAGCCTACGTGTGTACTTCTAATACAATGTCCACCAGTTTGTGTTTATTAGTGAAAACAACCAATGCCACCAAAACAGGGTCCTTACAAACATTCTTGCTGTTTCAAATATATGCTGACTTTTGTTTGTTTTTGTAGAAATGCCTGCCTCAAAAAGGGAATTATCACCACCAGAATCTGAGTCCAAGATTAGGAAGTTGGATGAAGATGGAGACGCCATGCCATCTAAAGTGGCATCTATCCTGGGCACTGACAATTCACCAGAAAGAACAGCAGCCCCAAGGACCAAGAAAAAACTGTCTCCTTCACCTGGGGGAAATAATTCAAGGCCTAGTTCTCCTTTGTCAGACTCCAGTGAATCAGTATCTGACCCACCTTTCAAAAAAGCCAAGCTTTTTTCCTCAAGTGCCTTTTCTACAGTTTCCTCAGAGGAATCCAAGTCCAACATCTCCCCGATGCAGACAACACTGACAGAGTCTGAAGAGGCAAGTATTGGTAGTTGTAATAAAGATTTCATCAGGATGAGCGGTGGCAGTGATAAAGCCCTCTGCATCATACAATATTCTAACAAAGCTATGGCTGAAGAAATATTGTCTGTACCAAATGAAGAACTGCCCTGTTCTCCTTCAGGTCCTGTACAAGCAGACCACAGTTATGGGAGAATATCAGAAATTACTGAGACAGATCAGGAGGGTAACATTATACAAGAATTTAAAAGTTCAGTTCCAGAGTCACAAAAAGCAACCATCACAGAATCAACAGAAAGAAGCACTAAATGTGAAGCTGAACCTAGCAACTGTTCAAAGGTGCATGTACGAGAAAGTCAAAAAACAGATGATATTATAATCGATTCAGCCTCAGATTCATTGGACAATGGGACATGTGTTGTTGCATCTGTTTGCGAAGAGAAAGATGAGACAAGTTCAGAGCCTCAAAGTGAAAAGGAATTTGAAAATAAAACACTACTAATTCCTGAAAAGGCATTATGTCCAGTTGAAAATGTTAATCCAAAAGAGATTGGAAGAGTAGATACTGTAACAGCAGTACAGGAGGAGGTTTTAATTGAAGTCCCTACTGTGCCAGTTACAGAAGAGTTTGAACAGGATGTCAAATGGCATACAAACGAAAAAGATCACAAAACACTGGTTGAAGAGACACATTTTACAATAAGTCATCCATTAATGAATAAAAAACCTTCTGAACCTGAACAATCTCTAGCTGTAAGCAGTATTCCCGAGGGGCACACTGAAAGTGTTGCAAATTTAGTGCAAACGGACAGCACTGTTCAATTCACCTTTGAAGAATCTCTTAAAATTGAACAGATGCATGACCAAGTGTCTAATGACTTTACTAACAACTCTGATGCTGGTAATCAAATTACAGATAAGATGCATAAAAATGACACAGAAGAAAAGGTGGAAATGGTAACATCTAGCAATGAGTGTGGCTTACAGAATCTAATGTCAAATGAAAAGTCATCTAGCAAGGAATTAGAAGACCAGGATAATGACAGAGTTAATGACTTCACTCCAAGAGCTATAAAGGACTCTCTTATGGAAAAAGAAAAACCTTGTATTGAAGATGTCACTATATTGAACGGACAGATCAGTGTTGAAATTCCCACTGGGTTTTCAGAGGAGATAAACTCTGCAGCAGTGGAAATACAAAGCTGTGAAAGGCAAGGAGATGGGCAAACGGAAAGTTTCTCTACTTCACATTATGTGGAATCTCACTGTATTCATGATGTTATTGAACCTGCTTCAGGTATGTCCGAAAATGTAGGTGAATATTCAGTGTCACAAAATGATGAGATGACTGCAAACTCTGCTGAAACACAAAGGCTTTGTTCAGTGCCGACAGTAGATGTACAGAGCGACGTCCAGATAAATGATGATCAGTATTATAAGGAACCTGAGGTAGACACATTTGAACTACAGGGAGAGATGGTGTCACATCAAACCAAAACCACTGATTATCCTGAATCATCTGAAATTATACACCAAGAAGTTGTTGTAGCTGTAAACATTGAGAATTCAGTGGAAAGTGAGCATAGCACATATTTATCAAACAAAAATGAGAATGAAACTTTCACAGTAAAGTCTAAGGAAGAACTTGCTGCTGTTTTTCCTGTAAGTCCACACACAATATCCCCTCCTGAAGTAACTGCTTCACCATCCAAAATGTGCTCACAGTACCGTGAAGTCAGTGAGACGTCTGTACTGACTGTAGATGATCAAATTGAATGTTCCACTGTCATTGGAAACAATAACGCAGACACACAACCAAATTTATTATCACCGATGAATTCTGCAACAAAAAGAGATGGGGTTTTACCACCTTTAGTGGAAATGTGTCCAGATGTGACTGATGCTTTACGTGAAACACAAACTGTAATGATTCAAAATATTGGAAGTGTAGAAATTGTAGACTCAGATAATCAGATAATTATACCATCTGAAGAAATAAGTTCTACAGTTGTATCATACCAGAGCACAAATTCCTTGACAAGGCAAGCGGAGGATATTCAAGAAAGTTTTATCAGTAATGCCTTTACTGACCATTCTGAAGAGGTTGTTACTGAATATTATACAACAACCGATGTACAAACCACAGCAGCGTCAGAGGATATTTCTATACCGACATCCACAGTTGAACTTAACACTAATGATGGTCGAGAGGTTGCTACCTCTGACTCTGAGATCAGAGATGCAAATAATATTAACATCAAAGAAGTTGACACAGACTGTGCAGATACCATTGCTATGGAAGTTCAACTTACAGAGCAAGACACTACAGAAGACAATGACGTTATGACTGAAAATGTGGATAAACAAATTATTACAGTACCAGAAGAGATTAAAGTAATACCTTCAGTTATGGTAGCAGAAGAAGCTGAGCATTCAGTGGTCTTTTTACGTGAAGTTCAGGGACATCTGTCTCATTCTGAGGTTATAGAGGCTGAGCAAATGCAAACTGAGTCAGTTGTTGTGGATACTATGGAAGATAATTCTGTAATTAGTGAATCACAAGAAACTGAATGTATGGCAGATGTTACAGAAACTAATGAGAGAGAAATTGATGCCAATGATTTGACACAACAATTGCTCCTTAATACAGACGTACAAGGCAATGAGAAGACTAATAATGCTGGTTATAAGCAAGAGGATGTTCACAGTGTAGAAGAACCTAATATGATAAACACTGAGTCTGACCTTAAGACAAATGAAAATCAGATAGTATATGAGCCTATTAGCAGTCCAGAAAGTACCACAGATGGAGAGGTTCCTTCACTGCCAGAAAACAATGGTACAGTTAGGCAGGTGCATGCAGACATAACTGATACTTCACAGATCATTTATAGTGTGTCAGCATTAACTACTGACAAAGAAATGGTTGTTTCAGATGGCTATGCAGTTGCTGAAATTGCAAGTGTGCCTCCAGAAAATTCTATCATTCCCCCTGTTGAAGACTTTAAAGTAAATGGCAAGAGTTTTCAAAATGATGAATTCATCAGGAGCGAAAATGTTTTGGACAACCAAACAGAATCGCAACGTATGCAGACAGTTGTTTTATCTTCTGCATCACAGAATGAGGAAATTTGCAAACTGAATAACCAGCAACTTAAAAATGAACAATATTCAGATCAACAATTAATATCTGAGGCTCACACTGCAGCTGAAATTCACAGGGTGGAACGGAGCACAGCCATTGAGCAGTTAGAACAAAGTAATGGCATGCAGGATGTGAGTGTTTCAGTGACTAGTGTAAGTGAAGATGCACCAGATGGTCAGTTGGAGAACACAGAAGAGCAGAGTGAAGAGAGTGTCTCAGATTTAGTCCCTGTCTCAGTGTTTACTGAACAAGTGCAAGAGGTCACTGGACCTGAAGCTGTCAAAGACACAGAAGCAGCTACAATTACATTTACTACAGAAGGAAATCAGGAAGCTGATGCCACGTGTGAAGAGTATGTTATATTAGAGCCTGTACCAGACACAGCAATTCACTACGACATCATTACTCAAGCTGTGGCTGAATCAGGGCTGTCAGAAGAGATTCGAGCAAATCCTGAAAGCATTATAGATGAGGTACAGCAAACAAGTGTTACAAGTGAAAGCACACAGGAGACAATGGATACTGAGACACATTTGGAGAAAACTGAACAAGTTGAGCAAATTGGTATCTCTTCTCAACCTACTGACATGATGGAAGTGACTCCAGCCAACTTTGGGTCAGATGTCACCCAACCAATTGATGTTAATATGATGCCACCTGAATGCCAGATTTTAGAGGATATTGAGATTGGACGTGAGATAGTTGTGGCAGAAGAGGAGCAAGAAGAGGACAGTGACATTTCTATAATTGAGAAACCTCAAGAATTTGCATCTGAAGAAGAACCTAAAAAGACAGATGAAAATGATTTGATAAGTAAAACAACTGGTGATGAGACAAGTAAAGACACTGGTGATGAGAAAAACAAAGAAACGGGTAATGAGACAAATAGAGAAATAGCCTCTTTGGAAACTGTAACAAAGGACATCACCACTGTAGAGAAAAAAGAGCCTGAAAAACCTAAGAAGCAAGAAATGAATACACAGGCCAGGACAAAAGCTCGCCTTGCGGCTCTTGCAGAGCAAAAGGCTGCTGCATCTAAGAGACAAGCAAGGAGAGAGCAACTCAACCTATTAGCCTTGTGCCAAGAAATAGCAGAAGACATAGCTACAGACAGCATGCTTCTAAAGAAAATTGAAGAGGAGAAGCAAGCAGCAGCTGTGGCTGCAGCTAAAAGTGAGGCCAGCACAAATGAAAGTCCACCTGTTAATAGCCAAGAGGAGGAGCCAGGGGATGCTATGGGTCCAGTTCCAGAAAGTGTAGAGGTGAGCTCAACTTCAATCACACCCACTGAAAACAACACTGTAATTCAGACCTCTACCACAAATGCAGAGGAGACGAAGGCCATATCAGAACCACCAAAACGGAGGTTCTTTACATCACAAGTTACTGTTCCACTCAAAGCTCACGAGAAAAAGAAACTTACTAGATATCAAAGATTGAGACAAGTTGAGCTACAGCGAGAAAAAATGTCATGGGCTAGAGTGAAGAAGCTCAAGACTGACCAAGCAAATCAAATGTTTTCTGACATGGACTGGCAAGCATCAATGTCATTTTCTTCATTTGGTATGGATAATGCAGCCACTGTATCACAGCCTGTGGCTGTTTTGTCTAAACCACCTTCACCGGAACTCTCATCACCAAGCAAATGTGCTGCTAACTCTGAGGAGCCTCTAGTTGAGATGTCTAAGCCTGAAACACCTGTAAGCGAACCAGCCAAAGTGGAAATTTCTCAAACTGGACCTGCAAAAGCAGCAACAGAAGAAAAACCTGAAGCCGATAAACATGAATCTCCTCAAAAGGAGGACTCAAAAGCTGAAATGAAAGACTCAAAAGCAGATCCTGCCAAACCTGAGCTTCGTGAGCTTCGTAAGTCCTCTCGCATCAGTAAAATTGAATCTTCAAAAGCTGCTTCTACGCCTGCACCAGCAACAAAAAGCAAAGTCACATCTAAAAAAGTCCTCCCTGCTGTTCCACCTCCCATGCCAAATGGCCTTAATAGTCAAAGTTTGAAGATAGAGTATAAGCCGTACAAACCCAGACCCAAGTATTCTCCTGATGACTTTGAACTGGACGATGACCCAGTTCCTCCTCCAAAAGCATGTCCTCAGGCTAAGCCCACTCACCAGATGAGGCCTAATGTTCAATCAAGACCAGCTTCCCAGTCCACCACTCCTTTAAAACCCACTGTTTCAACACAACCTTCAAACCAGTTGAAGCCCAAAGTTCTGACACCTGCTGGACGGATCTCAGGTCAGACAAAGCCAGCCTCCAGTGATCTGGCTAACCCTTCAGCAGCACAGGCACTGTCAAAAGGCACACATGTAACTCCATCGTCATCAAAGCTCTTACCCACAACTGAAGTGCTACAGAAAACTCCTGCCTCGACAAGCCCTCAGTCAAAAGTTGTTGTAGCTCCAACTCCATCCAAGTCAGCAGCCTCGTCAACCCAGGTTATACTCTCAAGTACAACCTCGGAGAAGGAGACCACTTCGTCTGTAGATCAGCCTGCCACATCTGAAACAACACCTGCTACTGCTCCTCCAGATGATGCAGCAGATCCTGCCAAATGCAAGGTACCGTATATCCAACTGACCACCTCCTCCTTTTGTTTACAGCCATGCTGATTTTTTACCCTTTTTACTTAGGCTACAGAGGATGTTCCTTTAGCACCTGTTCTTCCTAAAGAAGACTGCGTTGATTCACAGAAGTCTGAAGAAAACAAAGAAGGTATTATTATACATCCTTGTCATTCTTTCCGATATACATTTTTAATCATTAATAATGTTATATAATGTTAATAGGATTTGAGCTTCACATATTTTTGTAACTTTTTTGCAGTCATTCCAGTCCAGGATATGACAGCTCCCTGTGTCCAGTCAGTGAATAAAACTGAATCAGAAGAAGCAGACTTGAAAGCCTCAAAACTCTGTCAAGAGTAAGTAATTTAAATAGCAAATTGAAATGCCCTTGTCTTAGTGATTTAATTAATGTTATATGTTTTTTACAGTCCAAATATTGAGTCTCCCATGTCTGATGCTAGTCTTCAGAAAGAAATAAAAAAACTAAAGGAAGCTGACAAAGATGGCACGCAGACTATAATTGTAAGGGGTTCTATTGCCTTTTTATTTTTATGTAATCTGACTAAATCCAGTATGATAATTCTGTCTCTTTTATAGGATGCAGGGCAAAAGCATTTTGGACCAGTGGCATGCAGTGTGTGTGGGATGCTCTACTCTGCTGCTAATCCAGAGGATGAATCTCAACATTTACTGTTTCATAACCAGTTCATTAGCGCTGTCAAATATGTGGTAAGATGCAAATTGTGATGTAACAACTTCTGTCATTTCAGTACAACCGCATGTTTTAGAACAAACCAAATTGGTGCTAATAAACTTCAGATAAACAATCTAAAATAGTTTTAAGTAACACAGTTGGCATGGAACTACTTGTACCTACTGTGTAATTATTAGTACACTGTCTCGTTTCCATAGGGATGGAAAAAGGAAAGGATTTTATCTGAGTTTCCTGATGGAAAAATAATCCTTGTTCTGCCAGATGATCCAAAATATGCCCTAAAGAAGGTAATCAGATGTAAAATCCACTGTATTGAGCAGAAAGTATTTATTTGTCCAAACTATTATGTTATTTTCCTATTTAGATTGAGGAAATCAGAGAGATGGTGGACAATGACCTTGGCTTCCAGCAGGTGGAGTCAAAGTGTCCCTCAAAGACTAAAACGTTCCTCTTCATTTCCAATGACAAGAAAGTTGCTGGGTGCCTCATAGCCGAGCACATTAATGAGGTATTGAACTGTGCACTAATTATTTAGTATAAGTATAATACATGGCATGTTGAATTTTTTTTTTTTTTTTTTTGTGGGAATAATTGTAGGGCTACAGAGTGATCGAAGAGCCTGCCCCGTCTGGTTCAGAGGGGGAGAAGGTGATGTTTGAGAGACAGCGAGCATGGTGCTGCTCTACCACTGCTGAGCCGGCCATTTGTGGTATCAGCCGCATTTGGGTTGTCAGCACCATGAGACGCCAGGGAATTGCCTCGCGCATGCTTGACTGCCTCAGGTAAGTTATTTATATATATGTATATCTTTTTTGTTATTTATAAGCTTAACAATAAGATGTTTTCTATCTCTATGCAGGAACAACTTCATATATGGTTCTAACCTGAGCAAAGATGAGATTGCTTTCTCTGACCCTACTCCCGATGGGAAACTTTTTGCCACACATTATTTTGGCACTTCTCAATTTTTGGTTTATAACTTTGTGAATGGGACTCCTGCAACACAGGCCAAAACTGAAAAAGTATAACAGCTCTCAATCAGGCAACTATAGTTCTCATTGAGACTCTCACTGGAAAATGGGACCGGACCATTTAACAACTTAACAATTCAGTTTGTGTTTTTGAAGTCGGCATAATACTATTTGTGGAGGATATTCATTGGCTTAATTCTCAGGATTAAAACAACAAGACGTTGTTTGAAACAATTTTAAATTCACCCTTTAATCACACACTTCATATTCTGGCAAAACTTTTCGAGTAACAAATATTTTAGTATTGTTTTAATGCATGATACCACAGCAATAGATTTTTCCCCCAACAAAATTAAATTTATAGATTGTACTCAACTATTGCATCACATGTATGCATACATGGACATTTGTATGTTTTCCAGTTTATTTTGATCTCTCCTCTGATCATGTTTTAGGATATAACCACAGCTACATAGTGCATATTGGGCAGATAATTTTCAAATTTCTCAGATTGGTCCTGTTTTAACATTTCTTATATAAAGGATTCACTATAACCTATATTTTGTTTTTGATGAAATTTTAAAACACAGTGGAAATGTAGTGATGTAATGTAGGACTCTCACCGGGCATTCATTATGTGCTTTCATTTCTTTACCTGAAATGTTCAGTTTATGATCTGAGCCATAAACCGTGTATCATTTAGCATGGCATTGTAGCCTAACATTAGTGGCATCCTTTGCTTCACTAATGCTCTCTTTTGCTTTGTTTGTGCCTGAATGATTAATGTGATGTTTATAATTTTATATATATTTTTTTGATTAGTCGTTTAGTTTTCTACCTATATGTTCTAAGCCAAGCAATATGGCAGTTACTTAAATCCATGTAGATTAACATCTTCCTATTATTTAGTTACAATGAATTATGATGTATGTCAAATTATCATGTAGATGTATGCATACTTCTATATCTGATTGAAAATGGTGTGGCCTTATGGCTCAGGGGTTGATAAATGCAAGGGGAATATTGCTCAGCGATCAAGGTGAGGTTGAACTGAACCTCTGTCACCAGATTAGTTATACTTACTGTAATCCATCCCTAATTTTCTTCTTTCTTGTAAAGGCGTTTTTAGAAAGATGTGTTGTGTATGAAAAAATGGTTTATACAAAGCTGTTATGTAAATATTTATTTAAATAAAAAAACAACAAAAATTACATTGTTTAATTGTTTCTTTATACTTATTATAAATGTTTATCCTTCACGTTATTTAGTTTTTTCTTTAATTTGAATTGTTACAAGCCATTTTACCAGCCACACTGAGAAAGAATTGTGATTATTCAAAAACACCTTGACTTTTTCTTAAAGATTGTTTCTACAATCGATATTGTGCACTAAAAACTATAAAAGCTTTCAACTGTTTCAAAATGCAACAACAAAATAAATAACTATAAGAGAGCACTCGTGCTGGAATTCTTTCACTGGCTTCCTTGAGTTGGAATTACTGTACATTTAAGATCATCAATCAAATCTATACATGACGTACTGTTTAATACCATAAATGGTAGCCCCACAATGGCACAATGGCTGCATAGTTAGCACTCATCTCTACAAGGTTTCTTTCTGGGCAGAGTATGTATGTTTCTCCTAGTGTCTGTGTGGGTTTCCTCTGGGCAGTCCAGTTTTGCTAATCAACCCAAACAATCACAATAGTTAAAATCCTCCAGCTAAGGTAGTCCTCACCAAGCCTAATTCACCTGTGCAACCTGTGCAATAAAGAGTAGGCCTAACACATACAACGCAACAGACCATAGTGGTCACTAGCGCAAGTAAACTTATTGGCCAAGACTATTTGGAGAGTTGGCTAGAGTAGAGATGTCAAGCCCTGCATATGACTTGTATTTTCTGTGGTCTTTGTAGTGGAGAGGCAGAGTGCACCAGTAACAGTGCATTCCTTGATGCTCCTGTCACAACAGAGTTCAGCTTGATGGCTACTTCTGTGGACCAAAACAACCTTAGAACAACACTGATACTTCCTCAGGGACAGGGTGAGAAAATAGAAGTCTCTGCTGGTCCTCAGGGGCCTGATAGTCATCAGCTGTGAAACAATTCCCTCTCTTCAGAAGGAGTCTTTAAAGTTTTAATTATGTATTCACTTACTGATGAATTTTATTTATTTGATTTCTTCACTGAGACAAACAAATGAAATGATGTACGTAAAAATGTTTTATTACATTAAAAGGACAAAGGTGAAACAGCTGCCACATTGGATATTCACAACTACATAATTACATAAAAAAAATAATTAAAGTATTTAGAAATACATTTGCAAGTTTTACAAAATGATACTGTGGAACTTTTCTGTTACAGTAAATACAATAAGAAAAAGCCTGAGCCAAACACCACCATGAGCTGACCTGTTCACAGTGTAGTGGGGATTGGCCTTGTTGCCTGACATCTGTGGGGACTTGATCTGTTTTAAGAGTTTAAAACAAGATTACAGTAATGCTCTCAATACTTGTCCAGTTGACAAGCAATCTATAAGAAGAAAGAGCTGCTCTTAGGTTTGCATGGCAAATAAAATGTGACAATATTCAGACTGTTTCCAGTATATACCTCAATAAACTTTACTCTATCCTCGGGCCTTTGTTATTTACACATTTTAATGCCAAAGCTTTATGGCAACATTAAAATAGGCACCAACAACATTATATTTCAATGACTCAAAATTTAAAAATGATTGTTGTATCTTTTTCCATATTTAAATGCAGGGGAAAAAAACATTTTCACAATATCGGGCAATGCTCTCCACAGAAATTATACAAAATGTCCAACATATCAGGCTCTTGGACCCTTCTGCTCATGACACCTTGACCTCTGACTGGCTGAACTACAACAGCCTCCTCAGCAGGAGGCACATCAGCCAGAGGATGGACTTTATTATCCATCATTTTGAAATCTGTCACACCACCAGGGAGTTTTCCATTTTTCTCTGGCTGCATCTTTGTGCACTCTGGAATGTCTTTAAGCTCACAACTAATGTCACCTTTAATATTAACGTTACCAACAGATTCTTCCTCTTGGACAGCGTCAGAGTCATTTGCATGAGGCAAAGAAAAATATGTGCATTTCCTTGACAGTAACTTTCGTTCATCTTCAGAGTCAGTTTTGAAGAGCAAATATGGCGTCTTCTCCTCTGTGTCTTTGCATGGTTGTTGCTCTTCCTGAGTAGCAATTGTCACATTTTGATGTATTGCAACTGGATCTGAAACAGACTTTCTGAGTATTGGACTCTCTTGTAAAAACAAATGCCCATTATCAACAAGAACACTGTCTGCAGGACCAACCTGTGCATTAAAAGCTATGCATCTAGTAGCTTCACTTATTGCATCTATTGCAGTTGAAGAATTGAAGTAGGACAGTTCAGACACAGTTTTGGACCGTGTAGCATGAAAAGGGGAAAATATATTTGTCTGATCCTTATTTTTTTGTTTTTGAGCTGACAGTGGCCTTTCTCCTTTATCCAGCTTGGTAGGGGACTCTTTTTTGCCGTACAGTCTTTCAATTGTCCTCATTACAAAACCTTTGGTAATAGATTTGCGTGAAGAGTCATCTTCACCACCAGAAAGCTCACTTGAGGACTGAGACTGATAGCCTCCACTAACAGAGGTAGCTGGTCTTAATTCTGTCATATCAGATGTGTTTGAGCTAAGACTCGTCTTTGCTTGATTGTCTGACACATTTTTTGCAAGAAACATTTCCCGGATGGATTTGACCCGGTTTCCCTCTGGCTGTTTGGTTATAACATTGGTGGAGTCATAGCTAAAGGATAAGGATGACTGTGGAGCTGAACGAGTGCCAGGGGACAGCTGGGACATGGGGTACTCGGTGGAGGGTTCATTCCTGTCAGATAAAGGGGAAACCTCCTGTAATGGACTCATAATGTCTATCCTCAGGCCATTTGCATTTTTTTTTCTCAAACATGTCACATGCTCAGAAACAGACTGAGATATTACATCATCACATAACTTTTTGGCAATGTTTTCAATCCTTTCATCTTCAGAAAGTAATCTGGTCTGGTTACAGCTCTCTCCAACATATCCACTCATTAGCCCTGTTTGCTTTTCTGAACTAATTTCATTCTCATCAGAGCATAGTTCTTCATCAATTGATGTTATTTCATTGTTTGTCGAATGGTCTTCACAACTGCTGTCATCATTTCCACTGTCATTTTCAAAATTCATTTTAACATCAACACCTGTTTGCTGTTTTTCTACACCAGTTTCATGTTCTTCATCTGACAAATGTTCTTCAACAATAACGTTAAGTTCTTTTACTTTATTCTGTAAATCATCCTCGGATATTGAAATCTCATCTATATCTGTAACTGAATCTTCAACAGCACTGTGTACCTCCATACCACTTGAGTAGACCACTAGCATTCTATCAGCGTCGGATGCACTGTTAGACTCACTCTCACTGACTGGCCTAACTTTACTTGTAGGTTTGCCAACATTAAGTTCTACATAGCAGTCTGAATCTAGCATCTCCTCTGTTTGACTCTTCTGGTTTTCAGCAGTAGCTAATTCATATCTATCTGTTTCTTGGTTCTCTGACATGTTAAGTTCATAGACACTGCTCTTCTGTTTTATATTATTGGTAGGGGTTTTGTTGTTAATATGAGTCACATCTTCATAATTCTCACATGTACTTTCAGCACTGAGAGAAAAAGAGGCCAACTCATTTCTCAGTATCTCTGGCATCCCGAGACTATTCATTAGTTGATCAATAACATCTTCAAGTTGTTCGAGTTTAGTGGTAGAATTGTGTATCTCTTTAGTCTTTAATGAAGAACTGTAACTTTTGTTCTTTTCACAACATTCCTGAAACCGCTTCCAGCTCTGCAGAAGTGATTGTGAAGCTGACTGCCTTAAATGGGATAGACTCATTTGTAAAGTCTGAGGCTCATCTATGCTAGCAATTTCTCGAAGGGAATCCATCATTTCCAAAGCCTCTAAACAGCTTACATCATTTGCATCAAACCTCTCTACATATGGTTTAGGAGTTATTTCTTTTAGAGTCATAACTGATAAGAAAGCAAGGAGAGCTTTTGATGGTGAGCCAAAAGTAGAGCTCACATAGGAGGAAAACTCTGGAATCCTGTCCCCTTTGCTTGTATTTTGTTTGTGTTGGTTAATCTGGCGGATTGTATTAATAGAAAAGCAAAGTTTTTCAAGTCCTCTTTGAATAATGGTGAAACGTTGTGATATTACTTTTGTATTCTGCTCATGGTCATCTTTTGTAAGGTAATTCTTTGTTGTTTCTTCAGGTTTTGATTTGTTTGCTTGTGATAATTGTGTCTGCTCTGTCCTTTTTTGGGAGGACATTTTTCTTGGCGTCTTGCTTGTAACTGCTAAAGCGCTGTCAGTGGAGAGATTTCTGTGAAGAGACTTTTTTGTTTTATGTTTGACAGGTGGTGAAGCCAAGTCCAGTGACTGAGAATATGGAGATGTTTTTTTCAATAGTTTTGATTTACTACTTTGGATTTGTCTTTTTTCACTTGCAGGGCTGGCAGATGGTGGTGTACTATTTTTTCTTTCAATATTTGGAGAAAAATTTTTAGTGGCCTGGTCATTGATGGAATGTAATTTTTGAGATGTTTTCATCACTTCAGAAAATGTTTTCTTAGTTTGATGTTTTCTCTCTGGAGATGGACTTCCTACAAGGTTGACCTTTTTGGGTTTAGGTGACACCAATTCAGTCTCATTAGATAGTCTGATTGTCTTTGGGGCCTCACTGGACAACACACTTGTGGATGATGTTCTGTGATCCGATGTTAGACTAGCTGGAGAGGCAGGACTATAGTAGGATGGGTTGCTTTTCAAATCAAGTATGCTTTTTGATATCAGTCTCTCTGCTTTTGGCTCTATGCTTTGTCCCAGTGAATTATCAGCCACAGTTTGGATGTGAAGAGGTGCGCTTTCCTTGGGTATGGTATATTCATCTAAAGAGGCTTTCTTCAGAGACATTTTCCTTTCAAGAGATAGATTACTGACCAAGGGGGCTCTTTTAATAGATGGAGCTCTCTGTAATGGTGCTTCCCTCAGCTCTAAAGGATTGTCAGTCTGAATTGATGATATCATCTCTATTGCGTGGTCAGTAGGTGAAATGGCCCTGTCAGATGTAGGACTTGTGGATAATGGATGGATATCAGACA